ACACTCTTCCCTCACAATTCTGCCATCACAGCCACTGCTCTTTGTGAGCATCAGCTGTTCCTGGGTGACGGTGGGTATATCCTCCTCAGAGGTTCAGGAATGCGTGAGGAGACACCCCTTGTAGCTTGACATATTTCGGATGGTGGCTGAGTGTCTATCCTCAGCTTGCTTTTCTGCTCCATCCTCACCATTTTCATGCCATTGCTGGGCAGGAAGTGTTTAGCTGGAAGGTTACAGTCATAACATCACATTTTATGTCCCCTTGCGTTACTACTTTGGCAAGGAGAAACATGGTCCTTTCATTTTATTATACCTAAATGCATTTTCTTAACAGCTTATTCTTGATTCTAGTTTTATAGAGAAAAAAGAACACAAGCCCCCTCTTTCCTCACAATTCTGCCATCACAGCCACTGCTCTTTGTGAGCATCAGCTGTTCCTGGGTGACGGTGGGTATATCCTCCTCAGAGGTTCAGGAATGCGTGAGGAGACACCCCTTGTACCTTGACATATTTTGGATGGTGGCTGAGTGTCTATCCTCAGCTTGCTTTTCTGCTCCATCCTCACCATTTTCATGCCATTGCTGGGCAGGAAGTGTTTAGCTGGAAGGTTACAGTCATAACATCACATTTTATGTCCCCTTGCGTTACTACTTTGGCAAGGAGAAACATGGTCCTTTCATTTTATTATACCTAAATGCGTTTTCTTAACAGCTTATTTTCTTGAGCGTCTTAATAATTCTTCCAATGGTGGTAACACATTCCTGATGATGGTAGAAATTGCAGCAAGTGGAACACAAGTAAAGACATCCCTCTTTTTTTCCCCTATTTTGGTTAATATCAAATCGAGGTTGTAATCCTAAAAGGAAGAGAGCAAATATTTTCTAGCTTGGAATCCATCAAAGCATTTCTAAAAGCATCAGAGTGTAACTGGCTCATTGCGTCTATGAACCCACATGGGCAATTGGCCCCAGATCTTGTAGAGACATAAGCCTCTTTGCAGCCTGCTTTCTGCACGAAGCTCAGCATGGTTTGGTAGGAGTGCAAGTAAGCCTTATTTAAAAGGAAAACCTCAGGACAAAACCTCCTTTACCCATAAGAACACACCCCTTGGATGGCTTACCCAGTGGCCACTGAGGCAGGTACCATAAATACCACTTGGAGAGGTACCACTTGGAGAGCTGGGTGGAACTGGCTTCTCTTTGCTTGGACAAACACAAATTTTGAAGGTCAATAAGCCTGCACAGGACTTGGTCTGAGAGCTATGACTCTTTCTTCCCTGTTAGTTAAATAAATCTCTCACTGATGATTTCCCCCCATACTGGTAAGCATCTAGGTCTCAACCTATCCCACCTGGGGCCAGCATCTATAGTCTCTGACTGAATATGGCACCATAGCTAGACACAGAGGGTCCATGAGAACCTGGATCCCAGGACACAGAGAGAATTCTGTGGCCAATGCCTTCCAATTAGAAGAATCACTGTGTGTGGGCAGCTGTGCTGTCCATCAGTGGGACTGGGGCCTCAAGGCACCTGGACCCAGTGCTCAGTCTCTCAAAAGGGAGACCAAACAAGGCTGAGGAATTCTCAAGGCAGGGCTCCATAAAGAATTGAATGTTCAATATTTCAGGAAAACAAAACAAAACAAACAATAGCTTCTAGAGACAAAATCAGAGCTTCTGTCTTATGTGGTAGTGTTTTGATGTTTGATTTTGTTTTTGTTTTCCCTTCAATTGCACTTGAGACTGGGGGCTGAATATTGTAAGCTCTTGCAGAGCTGAGGGCTTCTAAAAGTCATCATTTATTACAAGTGTGACTTTATACAAGTTGCGACTCTCTGGGTTTCTTAAGAGAAAGTCTTGGGAACCAGCAGTTAGCGTAATAGCTATGTCGCTGGACTCCCACGTAGTCGACCGCGGTTCGCGTCCCGGACCCGGTGGCTTAAAACTCATGCTGGGCACGTGTGCGTGCGTGCCCAAGATCCAGAGAGGAGAATGGAGGAGAAGGGATTGCGGTGTGACCATCCCCCCTGGAGGGTGATTTCTCGCTTTCTGTCTCTATGTCTCTCTGTCTGTCTGTCTGGCGAGCACACGTGCCCTATAGCAAAAACATCTCCAAAAAAAAAGAAAAGAAAAGAAAAGAAAAAATAAAAAGAGAAAGTCTTGACATTACTTACTGTCTTTTTAGTGTGGCCACCTGAGGCCACCTTTGTGGGAGTGTGCTTTCTAGATGTCATTAGAGAATGAGGTTTATTACTGAGTATGGGGACAAGGGCCTAAAAGACATTCTCCTCAACATTGACCTTAGAATATTAAGGCCAGCTGAGGTCTCCCAGCCCAGTGGTGACCTGGCACTGGTGGAAGCCCAGGTGCCCAGGGAAAAATCTGGCACTTCATCTACCTCTGTCCAACAGGACTGAGTGGCAACAGGCTCCTGCACTGAAGCAATGACTCATGCTGGTCTTTTCCTTCCCTACTGTGAACAAGGAAGGCGATATCATCCCTGCATCTTTCCAGGCATTTCTCTGTGAATAAGAAACCTACCTGCACCTAAAACCTTGAGTAGACATACTGTCCTCCTCACCTGGGGATCATTGCAGCACTTTCTGCTTCCCTTCTTTTTGGCTGTGACCATCACAAGCCCCCCTAAATAGCACACATTCACTTCTTATTGATCACAAGTGGTTCTATCTTTTTCTATTCATTTGAAAAATACTAAATAATAATTAGACTCGAAAAAAATCAGCACAATCAGATTTGTTTCCATATGACACATATTTAGGACACAGATAAATGCAGTGAAGGGAAAAGATGTTTTCATAATCAGGAGCTTGATGTATGTAGGCCAACTTTGCGGACTCTTTGAAGGGTGACCCTGTCCACCAGTCCTCAGGGCAGGACAAATCATTTCAGACTGGGTATATATATTTCTAATGATAGGTGGAATAAATTACTAAGAACTGAGTAGCTTAACACAACAGAAGTTTATCTTCCCCAAAGTTTTGAAGCTAGAAGTTTAAAGTCAAGGTGGACAAAAAAATGTCCTCTCTCCAAAGGTTCTAGGGCAAAATCCTTCTGCTCTTTCAGCTCTTGGTGGTGGCATGAATTCTTGGCATTCCTTGTCTTATGGATGCTTCACTCAGATCTCTGCTGTCATTATCATGTGGCCTTTTCTTTCTGTATGTGTCCTCTGTTCTTCTTCTTTTGAAAAAGTTTATATATTTATTTTTTCCATGAGCAAGAAAGTCAGAGACAGAGAAAAAAACGTAGCACCACAAACAGGGTCCCAATATCATAGTCTATCCCCAGCCTCAGCCAGCTGTGGATAATTTACTTACCCAGTGTATCCAGGAAGATTTTTGGATGTGAACCCACAATTCTCCCACGTGGGTTAGCCTTGCAGAAGTGTCACATTTTTACCACTGTGCCACCATCTGGCCCCCTCCTTTCTTCTCATAGGTATACCAATTATTAGAATTATGGCCCATCTTAATCCCACATGGCTCCATTTTACAATTACATCTGTGATGACACTATTCCTAAATGAAGCAAATTCTGAGGTCTGGATATGCATGAATTTTGGGGGCATACTCTTCATCCTAACACATGAGATAATTGATAAAAACAAGCCCCTTAAGGTTTATAGGTAACTGGCTTTGATCATCACTCTCCTACAGCCGCTCGGATACACTGTTTTGGACCAATTTTATTATACTTACAGCCATCTACCAAGTTATAATCAGCTGACAAATTAATATCGTGCATGACTAAATGGAGAGATAGGATATTCTTCTTTAACAGTAAAACAACAGTCACTGATTTCTAATTCCATGGAAACCATATTCAAATTTGAATGTGTTATAAGCATAGCTCACTTTAACTGTGTGGGGATCACTGTGCAGGACACTACACAGTGTCTGGTGCATATCCATTCAGCTGAAAAATCAATCCCCCTACTCATTTACAGACTACCATCATGGCTTATTCCAGTGTGCATCTCCTGGACTCTTGTGTTCTCTGTCACATTAAAGTGACATTTCAGTATGAGCTGGGTATAGTCAGGGAACAGCATCTGTTCCCAGAATTTAAGATAAGAATCAGGAAGATAGAAGCTATTGCAGGGCTGATTCACACTGATGGTATCTTTCCTTTCTAAACATTTTCCTAAGTGATTACATTTAAGCTCTGGGTCAGTGAACACTTAGTAAATGATTCTTGGACTGCAGAAGGGTAGAGGCGAGAAAGGAAAGTTTAACCATGAATTACAGTCTATGTGGTCACTCTTGTGACATGGCTAGAGAGAAACTTCCCTAAGACATCAGTCCTTAGGGCAAACCAGAGAAAGCCTGGTGGCAGGGAGGGTCCCCAAGCCATCCATGGCAATAGAACTAACATCTTTCAAATGCCATTTGTGACAGGCTCCATATAAGCAACTTTAGGCTAGGCCTGTGTGGCCCCAGAGCCATTTTTTCCTGGTATATTATACCATATCAAGCCTGCTGTCTGGGCAGAACTGAAGTAAAGTTAGCCCCAGATTCAGTGACAGTCATAGAAATATGAAGTCTGAGCCCAAGAAGTTTGAGGTAATGCCTGGAGCTAGTGAGGAAGGAGAAGGAACTCAAGAATTTTTCTGGCATAGAGAGAGAGTCAGATAGGGATCATTGGCAGCCCCCAAAACCAAGCAGCTCTTCCTCTGCAGGATTTATGGGACTCGTTCTAGAGACCTGGATTCACTGGTGGGAAATGTACTCCTGGGAAAGCTAAGGAGTGTTTTCAGAAAGTAGAGGTTAGGTAGAACCTAGGAAAAGTCAGCCTCACCTCCCAAATAAGCACAATGTTTTTGGTGGGAGGTGTTCCCAAGTCCTAGAACTCTGATGCAGGGAAGGGGTTGGGATTCTGCTTCTCTCCTGGGAGAGGGGAGATGGCAGGAACACAATGGGACAACTTCCTGACAATATCTGGACCATAAAACCTACAATTATAAGTTTTCTTGTTATTTTATCAGATCAACTGGAGTAATGGGAATGCTGAGATGGAACCTAAGAGCTAATCCTATGAAGGAAGCAAGGACATAGCAGCAAGGTGAGCCTGTCCCACCTCCCTTCCCCCGAGGTGGCAAGAGTGGCATCAGAGAGAAAAGGTCTGTCCCTGAAGCAATCCTCAGTTGGACCATCCAGTAGTAAGGTCAAGGATAGTCCAAAATCCCAGACTACCAGGCCTAAGGTCTGTAAGGGTGGTGGACAAATGTGAAAGGCTAAGTTAGCCTTCTCCCCACAGCCTTTGTTCCTGGGGCTGGTATTCACATCACCAGGTAAACATAGCTTTTCCTGAGTGAGCAGTGAGCTTCATAGGCAAGGGTTACAGAATCACCTTTCAGTAAAATGCAGATTCCAGAGTATTGACCAATCAGAGAGAACTGCAGGGTAGGTTGGGATAGGGGTGAGAAATGACATCAGAAATCCAGGTGCTGGGACCAGCAGTTAGTGTAATGGCTATGTTGCTGAACTCCTATGTAGTCGACCACGGTTCAAGTCCTGGACCCAGTGGCTTAAACTCATGCTGAGCGCATGTGTGTGCGTGCCCAAGATCCTGAGAGGAGAATGGAGGAGAAGGGGAGAAGGGATTGGGGCATGGCCATCCCCCCTGGAGGTGATTTCTTGCTTTCTGTCTCTCTGTCTCTCTCTATCTTTTTGGTGAGCACACATGCCCTATAGCAACCCCTTCCCCCCCCCAAAAAAAGAAACCAGGTGCTGTGTTGCAATTAAGACCAGATGAAATCAGAAATTTTATATGACTTTCCACAGGTATTTAGAAAGAGGTGAAGAGTTCATTCTCTAAAACAGTAACATTATACCTGAATCTTTTAAAACATAAACTTCTGGTACCCAGTGGCTTGATAATCTTCTTCACATATGCATTAACTCAAAAGATTAGTTAGCTGAGCAAATATGTAGGAAGGAAACAGAGGTGGAGAGTTCAACTTCCTCCTCTCTGGATGAAAATTGAGACTCCTGGCTTTGTGATTGAGTGAAGATAGATTTGAATTCTTGCATCACAACCTGGAGTTGAGGTGGCAAGTATGTCATCTAATTTATCTTGTCTTTGGTTTCTTTATCTGTGAGATCTGAGTGAGCATAGCAGTATCTATCCTCATTGGCCTCTGGGTCATATTAATCTTGGTAGCATTAATGCCCAAATCCCATGAGCTCCAAGCTCCTATCTTCTCCTAGAGAATGCCCACTCCTCTCATTTTCACTTTACTCCCTCTTCTATGTCACCCAAAGGAGGTTATTAGTTCACTTCTGGTGATTCTGGTGGTCATTTGAAACTTCATTTACCATCCTCATGGGCGGGACTTCAAACTGAAATTGATCCTCCATGAGAAGAGCTGGAATTTGAGGCCAGTTTCACTGTTGTTACCATTGCCTTGAGCCAAGCGAGACTTTTCTCTGCCAGGTGGCCAGCATATTTGACCATTAGTGTTTCTTGTTTCCAGAAAGTTTTGTCAGTTTGCCTATTGGGCTCCACACTCACTGTATGGTTCAGTGGGTTAGCCAGCACCCTTTAATACATGCATGGATATGCATACAGGCACATATGGATACAGGCACATATCTACACATGTATGTGTGCATACAAGTCATCTAAGTAGCTGGTTGAAAAGAGTCTCAGCGTCAGCCTCAGGTCCTTTGGTTTCATGGCTGAGGGTTATATTATGGAGGTCCCATGATGATGCTCTGCTTAATTTCCTTCCAAACAGCTCCCACTAATGGAAAAGACTTTGGGTTCTCCAGAACTTATGTGTCTCAGGCCAGACCCCAGAGAGTGCAGAGGGCTGGATCGCATCTCAATGCAGCAAATTCTATTTTCCTCAGGGCACAGGACAAACTACTTTTGCTTTTCTCTTGGGGAAAAAAAAAGAGAAATTTGACAAGTTCTTTTTAATTTATTCTTTTAAGATAGAAGACTAATTATTTAGGACTCACTAACACTCTAACTTAGAACCTTCTGTCCTCTGTGAATCAGCCAAACAAAATTTTCAGTTTTATGGAAAAAGAATTAGCTTGTTCCCACAATATAGCAGAATAAGAAAAAAAAAATTTCCTTAATTTTGCATTTTAATGTAATCATATTTCAGACTTAAAATTGTTCATACTTTTCTTAAAATCCACCTGCATCTTTAGGTTAAGATGATTAAAAATCCTGCAAAGCATACTATCATACTGAGTATTTCTAGTTTTTTATTTATGGGGGATATGGATCCATCACTGGGTTGACATTATTGTCTTCCAGATTTAAGGATTTTTGTTTTCTTTTGAGCTGTTGATAGATTCAGCAATTTGTTAAATTAAAAAAAAAATTGTTTTTTTGAAATTGAAGCAAAAACTATTGTTCCTTCCTCTTCCAGATTTAAGGATTTTTGTTTTCTTTTGAGCTGTTGATAGATTCAGCAATTTGTTAAATTAAAAAAGAATTGTTTTTTTGAAATTGAAGCAAAAGTTATTTTTCCTTCCTGACCCTCCTGGAGTTGGAAAATATTTGTGAGCATTCTTTTTTTATTTCTTTTTTTGAAATAAGTTAGTTTAAAAGAGGGAATGGAGAGAGAAAGTAAGTTTTAGAAGAAATTTACAGTGCATTTGTTACTAGATTTAAGCTTTGTTCTTATCTGTTTTTTTTTTTTAATTTTTAGTATTTACCTATTGTTTGAACAAAATTAAACTTTTTTCTGTCTTGAAGTCTTGAGTAAAATTTTCTTAACATTTTAAAATTTGGTTTATTAAAGCTAAAACTGCTTTTCTTGAAATTAAAAAAAATACATAAAAACAAACAAAAAATAAAAACATACCTATTTAAAGACCTTAGTAAGTTATGTAGCCTCAGCTAGGTGCTACTTTATAATAAGTTCATTCTACTCACTAAGTTTTATGCCTAAAGTCAGACATGTTCATAAATATGTTTATATCAATTCTACTTACCATTGAAAGTATTTACCTTAAGACCTTTTGTGAATCAATAAAATGTGAACCAAACCAAACAAAAAACTTTTGTTAGCGGGTACAAGCACTCTCCAGAGAGAGGCAGAGAGAGAGGAAGCAAATGTGAGAAATCACCACTCATGGTACATGGTCACACTACAATCCCTTCTCACCCATCTCTTTTGGGATTTGGGGCACACACGGGCACATATGTCTTAGGGTTTTTTTCAAGCAACTGGGTTCAGGTTTGAACCATGCTTAGCCCTGTGAGATCCGGCTACCTTAACCACTAGGCCACTGGTTGGCCCTCAAGTTATTAAATTTCTATGGCAAAGACATATTTGACATAATGAAGGTTAAAACACAAATGGCAAGGCCAAATCACTGCAATTTTCCATCTGGGAATGTGGGCTATAATAGAAAAGTTTACTCATTCTAGAAAAATTTGATCAAGCGAATAATAACTCAGGAAGCAAGATATGCAATGTTGATGGAATATTTCCCAGACTTGTCAATAAGAAGAGTCAAAAGCAGTCTCTTCTGAATGGCTGGAGAATGATCCGGAGCCCATTTCTATCCCAGGCCTATGTCAATATGCTCAACATAGTTTTATGCTACTACTTTTTCCTGGCAGATATCATGAGTTGTCTAAATTAAGGAAAATGAGCCACACATGATCTATGACGTCACTTTTGCTGTTAGCATATGTGCATGCATTTGCATGTTCACACATACAAGTGTATATGTTTGTGTGCATATGCACACATGCATAGTGTGTGCACCCATGCCATACCTACATGTACACATGTACACGTGTACCTAGAGTGTGTGCATGCATGTTTTCCACTACTTCTTATACCTTTGATAATCGAATCAAAGATACTTTGGTTTCTCTCCACACTGCACTTGCTTTTTGGCACATGTGTACCTTTCCTGTATCCAGTTTCCAGCACCTCTCATATCTTTCACTAATAGCCTCCTTAAGGACTCACTGCTTATGCTTTGGTCTTAGCCAGCATCATCTCATGAGAATGAAAATTGTGTTTGTCTCTAAGGAACTAAGGTCTTTCAGTGACTTTCCTTGTACTGGAGACAAAGGCAGAATTCTCTAGCATACCCTTCCCTACTAATTCACCCCAAGTTGCCCCACACCACCTCACTAGCCCCACATCAATTTGCCCCACATCAATTTGCCCCACATCTCTAGCCACTCTCTCCTTAGTGCTGTCATTCCTTCTGTCTGGTACCCTTCTACTCCTCTGCTTTTCTTCCTGGTAAACTCCTACAATCCAACAGTTCTCGGATCAAAAACTGCTTCCTTCAGCAAGTATTCTTGTCACGGAATATTCCCTCAAAGTTATATATCTCACCGGTTCTTCTTCTTCTTTGGAGCCTGTTGGAGCTGTCACATACTTACTTGATGCCACCAATGGACTGTATACATATCAGGGGCTGGTTTGATTCATTGTGATCCAGCATCCAGAACATTGCTAGACTCAGTGGGTATTTGTTGAATGAATGAATATATGATCATATGCTGCATACAAACTTTTAAATTTTTATTATAATTTCTGGTTTACATATAATAATTGTACATTTTTATGGGGTTCAGTATGGTTTCTTAAGCATGCACACACTGTGTGATAATCAAATTGAAGATACTTTGGTCTCTTTCTAGATTGTATAATTCTTTCATCTTTTACTTTTTTGCTTTTTGCACAGAATTTACTTTGCTTTGGAATCTTTAAAGACAACCAGTCATTTCATATGACTCCCATTTTAAGTGACCCACTTCTCTGACTTCATGTCACACACAAGTTCTCTTTACTCCTTCCTTTGGCCAAGCCTCTCCAAAATCTGAACCTCTCCAAAAGCACTTAGAGTTGCTCTACTGTCATGTGGTGCCTTAGAACTTCAATTCTAATCTCTTTATGAGTCTTCCTAACTTGACATTTTTTAGACAGGATCCTGTTGAAAGTTAAGAAATGATTTAGGATGGAGTATATAGATGCCTAGAATAAAAACAGAAAAACAAACCTCAATAGGATTGATAGAGAACTTGCATGTTATCTAGCATAACAGTCAGAGGGTACTTTCATAACATTA